TAGAACAAGACTAGGAAGGGCTTCTATGCCAACTCAGGGAGGATGGAATTTGTCCTCTTGACAATTGGGAACATTGGAGGTTTTCAAGTGGAAAATAATGCAATTAGATTTCTTTCTTTTCCTGCCTTATAAGTTGAGAAATATAACTGATAGTCAGAAAACTGCTAAAACAAATATAGTGTACAAAGCATAATTATAGAGCAAACACTTCGATACCCCTCACCTTGGTATAGAAATATAACATTGTTTATACCCCGCTCCTCCTCACTGCCCAAATCATAGTCCCATTCAAGTCCCACTGTCTTTGTATTCTTAATCACTGTTTGGTTTTCCTTTATAGTTTTATTGCTTATGACCATGTGTGTATCCTCAGAAAATAAAGTTTAGTTTTGACTATTTCTCAATATTTTATAAATAGAGTCATACTGAATGTGTTCTTTATGTTTGACTTCTATTACTCAACATTGTTTTTAAGACTCATCCTTGTTATTGCTTGTCGCTATAGCAGTGTTTATTTATTTTCATTCCTGTATGATTCTATTTTTTTAATATTTCACAGTTTATCTTCTCTGCTGCTGTTGAAGATTTGTTCTTTGATCTTAAAAAAATCAGTTCTTGCCTAATACAAATGATATCATTATGAGCTTTCATACCCTGTATCCTGTTCATCTGAGGTTAACAGTTTGTAGAACATATTCAGCTCCTTTTTTTCAGGAAGTTAACCATGATGGGATTGTGTGGCATGAACTACAGTGGTGTGAAGTACTATGGGTCTGGTCCACTTTCGTTGAGGGTGGAGAGAGAGGTCCCCTCTGAAGGAAAGTCCAGAGACAGAATGGAGCTCACCGGAAGTGGAGTGTCACCCTCGGGTGATCCTGAGTTTTCTTGTATGAAAGACCAATATCCTTAAATGACTTAAAAACTCTGTTGGAGAAATAAGTTGTTAGGGAAAATGAGTTCTATTTTGGGTTTGAGGTGACTGCTGGACACACAAGTAGGAAGGAATATCTCTAAGCAATCGGAAATGCCTATCTAGAACTTAAGAAAGGGAGGAGCTAGACATGAAGACTTGGAAGTGGTAACATACAGTTGGTTGTCAAAGCCATGGGAAAGGAGAATAATGATAATTGACAGTACTTTTTGAGCATTTGTTATGCACTAGGCACTATTCTAAAAATGTTACATATATCCATTTAATCTTCATAACAACCTAAGGAGGTAGGTAATACTATTTTCATTTTATACATGAGAGAATTGAGGCACAGAAAAGTCAATTAGCTTTCCCAAGGTCACACATCTAGTCATTGGTGATGCCAAGAGGAGATTACTTGAGAAGTGTATGTGGAAAGGATTGAATTTTAATGAGTATTAATACTGATGATAAGGAGGAGGAAGAGGAGCCTGGGAGGAAGACTTAGATGAATAGTTACTGAGTTAGGAGGAGAGCCAGCGAGTGTCATTGATAGCCTAATTTAAATGGACTTAATAAGGGAAGTACTGCAGGTGCCTTCCTACTTTTGTAGGAAGTTAAATGCCAAAGTAGAGTCAAAGATAGTCAAGCTCTGAGACTTGGTGTTAACCAAACCTCTTCAGGCTTGGTTCATTGCTTCCAAGAAAGAAAGTGAAAACTCCTAAGGTATCCAATAAAATATAGAAAAATAATTATTTGCCTTTGATTTCAGTTTATAGCTAAAGTAAAAAAAAAATCCCTTCCTTAAGTAACTCCATTGTCGTTAAGTGTGGGGATGGGAAGATGGTGGGAAAATGGGAATGGTAGTGGGGAAGATGAGCATCTCTGTACCAGAGAGCTCTGCTGAGTAGACAAGCTGAGCTGGGCCGGAAGGCTGGAAGGAGGGCATCAGGGGAGAGTCCCTGATCCACCAAGGCCTGTAGCCCCCCCCTCCAAATGTGGCCTGGTGACTCTGATGAAAGTGGGTGTCCAGGTGACCCTTCAGCTGTGCCTGAAACCTGCCCCATGGCCCTAGCTTCTCCCTGGTGTTGTCTTGTTTCTCTCTGGATAGACTTAACTACTGTTTTCACAAGGTTGGCACTTGAAATGTCATTGGTAAAATGGCACTCCTGTGCCAAGGAAAAGTCTGCTCTTTCTTTCTGTTTAAACTTCCATAGGAAAAACTTTTATCAACATTCAGAAGTCTAAACATAATAATAAATTCCATATTTTTAAATACATTACTTAACCTAAACAATATATCTACAAATTATAACATGCAGAATGATATTCTTTAAGATTAAGAGTGTCACACTTTTTAAATTGTTAAGTTTGGCATCCAAAGTTGTGTCTTGTACATGGTAGATATTTGTAGATATCAACCTTGATCTGATTGGACTCTTGTAGGTGAGTCTTGGGGACAGGATTGACACTTTGCTAGAATCTAGCAGTTGTATTCCAAGGAGGGCCAGCGTATTCCAAGCATTAGCCAGTATTCTCATGAGGGTCACAGAGAGTAATGCTTGAACTAACCCCCTTGAAGATGATTGCAAAGAACAGTGTGAATGTGTATTTCCTTTCAAGAGTTTATCTTGCTATTCTGAGAAATTTTTCGTGGTTTCTGAAACCAGTGATAATAATAGTGTTCAGAAACAAAGTGGTACAGCTAAAAAAAAACAAAACAAAACAAAAAACAAGTAAAACCAATAACCATCGGTTTTCCATTGTGCTTAACATGAGAATCGCTCATTTCTTTTTTTTTAAATATTTTATTTATTTATTTTTTAGAGAGGGAAGGGAGGGAGATAGAGAGAGAGAGAGAGACATCAATGTGCGGTTGCTGGGGGTTATGGCCTGCAACCCAGGAATGCACCCTGGCAGGGAATTGAACCTGGGACACTTTGGTTCCCAGCCCACGCTCAATCCACTGAGCTACGCCAGCCAGGGCTAGAATCGCTCATTTCTTAAAAGATAAAGTAAGTTGGTGTTGAATTGTGAATTTTTAAAAGTGTAAAGGTCTTTCAAATATTCTTTAACCTAGCCTCAGAAAAAATTGTTGAATCCTCTATGCACCCTTACTTTTATTTTTTCTATTTCCACTAAGAATTAAACATCTGAGTAGTGATATTTTCTCAGAACAGACCTGGGTATAAAAGGCTTGGTAATTTTCAACAGACCCAGAACTAGAACCACTCACTGCCCCCAGAGATGACAGGGGTGGATGCCAGGGTGTTAGACTCAACTGCAGGTGTTGGGAGAAAATTCAGGCTGGCAGGCAGAACCCAGACTTTCATGGCTCCAGAAACGTGTAACAAAGACAGAATGACCATCAGTATCTGCGGGATACACAATGGGGAAGCACACTGGTGGCAACATCACAATGTGGTGTTTGGAGACATGAGCTGACAGAATAATAGGAGAGAATGCAGTTCAGTCTGTAATGAGTTCCAGGGGCAGGAGTTCCTAGTCTATAAAGACTTTAAATCCTACGTCAACCCGCAGCTCTGCCCTCACAATGGGCCATCTTTCTTCTCACCCTCAGTATTCCCATCACTGTGCCTTTCTGTCCTGCCACAGAATGACAAGCTCCTTGGCACCCCGGAGCCTTAGTCATTCAGATTTCTGCTCAAATGTCCTCTCCTCATAGAAGCTCTCTAGCTCATGATTCTATTCTAATAATTCGCATAACCTTTGAGGATGTTCCCCTCACTATCAATGAAAGCTGTTTATCCATTTGTCTTCTTCTTGTTATATCCAGTAATCCCAGTCACATGAGGGTCAAGGACTCATGGACATGGAAAATGGTGTGGTGATTGCAGGGGGGAGCGGGGAGGGGACTAAACGGTAATAGAAAACACACAATAAAGATTAAATCAAAAAATAAAAATAAAAAAATACTGTTTTAAAAAAATAATCTCACCCTGGCTGGCATAGCTCAGTGGATTGAGTGCGGACTGCGAACCAAAGCATCGCAGGTTTGATTCCCAGTCAGGGCACATGCCTGGGTTGCAGGCCACAGCCCCCAGCAACCGCACATTGATGTTTCTCTCTCTCTCACTCTCTCTCTATTTCCCTCCCTTTCCTCTCTAAAAATAAGTAAATAAAATCTTTTTAAAAATCTCAAAGTTGCAATGTAAGGGGCAATCTCTTACATTGAGTATGCATTTAATTTAATTTTATTGATTTTAGACATAGAGCAAAGGAGGAGGAGAGAGAGAGTGAGAGAGAGAGAGAGAGAGAGAGAGAGAGAGAGAGATTTGTTGTCTCCCATATGCACCCCGGCCATGGCTCGAACCTGTAACCCAGGTATGTGTCCTTACCAGGGATTTACCCTGCAAACTTTTGGTATACAGGACAATGCTCCAACCAACCGAGCCACAGGGCCAGGGTAAGTATTCATTTAATAGGCACACCCTATATGTAAAGGTCCTTTACATATGCTACTCTATTTACTTAGCAATCTTGCAAAGTGAACTCTATTATCTTGCTCATACAAACCGCAATGCTGAGTCTCAGAGATGCTAACTTATTACACACATACCCTGCACCTAACTTAAAAGGCCCTGTCCTTGCCAGTGCACCTCACCTCTATCTGGAGCCACCTGTGTCGTGTAGGCTCGGTTTCACAGACATGCTTACGGTTGGTGTCAGAGGACTGATGTTTGAAAAAAACTAACAGGGGAGGAAACAACATGTTAAATGTAGCTGCAGTTTGAAATGTTTTGGTTTAAGCAGTATTTTTGAACAACCATGTGCCCCTTCACCCCCACTGATCAACCTGTTAGTCACTGAGTGAAAATTTGACACTCCTCCGGGGACCAACAGGGTAAGGGCATACCTGGAGAAAAAAGAGAAGACGTTAATAAATAATATGTTCTGTCTAATGTCCTTTATGACCTGTGGGAAATCGGTCAGGGGAGAGAACAGTACAGGTGAATGAGGCTGGGAGTCTGTCCAGAAGCAAGACAGGAAGGGGACAGACATGAGGAGGGCACCAGACTTGAGCAGGGCTTTGTTTTGAAGCAGCTTGTGAAAGAGAAACCAGAAATCTGCCCTTGAATAATGTTTCCTGAAAATGATCATGGGTTTTCTTATAGCTGTTTGGTCTTACTGAATTGCAGTAAGGGTGCAATAGAGGAAAATCTGTTCTTTTTTTTTCAAGCAGTTTCCCCATGTAAGAAGCGTTTTTTGCTCTGGGCAGCTGCATCAGGGCAGGAAAGGTAAGGAGCGTCTCCTGGTTCATTGTCAGCTGGGTGGAAACAAAAGTCACTGTGGACCAGGGTCTACCCCCAGTCAGAGTCCATGAATTGGGGCAGAAAGGTCACAAGTGCAGTAGCATTCTGAAAAGTGAAGAATTGGGTAGGGCAATGGTGTGCATGCCTAAATCGCTTTCTCAGCCAGGAAGGTCTGGGTTGGTTGAGATAAGAAAACGGAAGTTCACAAGGCCAGAGAAGCCCTCTAACCTCTTTTGAAGTTGATTCTTAGCAGAGTGGAAAACTCTAGACCCCAGCCCAAAAGCGTCCGAGGAGCAGGGCAGCCAAGAGGTAGAAGCATCCGGGCCTATCTGTTGTGCCAAAGGAGAGAGCCAATGGAGAAGCTTAAGACGATAGTGGACCTGCACTTGAAGCACTACGGCGTACTGGGTTACGGCCTGGTGACTGCGCTGACTGCGGGGCTGGAGCGCATCTTCTCCACCGTGGTGTTCCAGTGCCCCTGCAGTGCCACCTGGAACCTGGCCTATGGGCTGCTGTTCCTGTTGGTACCCGCTCTGGCACTCTTCTTCCTGGGCTACCTGCTCAGCGCTCGCACTTGGCGCCTGCTAACCGGATGCTGCGCGCCGGGCACCTGCACCTGCACCTGCTGCTGTGGCAAGGTGCTGCGCGGGGTCCTGGTGTTTGCGCAGCTCAGCGGGACGGCTGCCGTTGCGCCCCTCACCTGGGTGGCCGTGGCACTGCTCGGGGGTGATTTCTATGAGTGCGCCGCCAGTGGGACCCAGGTCTTGGTGCGGCGCCTGTGCTCTGGCCACGGGGACCCCAACTGTATCACCTTGCTGCCTCTGGTGCCCTGCGGGGATAAACAGGCTGAGGACCTGATGGACTTCAAGAAGAATCTCAAGGCACAGTCGCAGGTAGGTGCTGGCGCAGGGCGCTGTGGGGAGGAGCGGAGCGGGAGGGCTTCTGTGCGCCAGCCGAATGAAGTAGGGATCGGTGCCCTTTCCCCAGACGTATGACATGTAAGACGAACTAGAATGTCTTCTTGCTCCTAGTGAGTTAACAGGCCAACGTTTAAATAAATGGATGAAAAGGAGGAAAGGCGATAGGTCCTTTACTTCCTACCTTAGTCTCCTGCGTCTTCAGAGCGAATCCACTGAGTCTAGATCAGGTTGTTTGCCCGACCAAAACACGGCAGAACTGGTGCAGTGAAATGGGTCTGCCTGTCTCCTAAGCCACCACCCCACACTGCTTCTTGGAATATAAAGCTCAGAGGTTCTTGACAATGAATGCTTGCTTCATTGCATTTGCCGCTATTCCATGTTGAGTTCTCCGGGCATGACACACGTGTACTGGCATCTCCCTGGGCTCTGTGACTTGGAATATGACTGACTTACACAGCCAGCAGTTGTACTGAGGGTTTCCAGAGGTCACGGCCACTCTTTCCTCTAAGAGAGCACGACTTAAAACTGCTGCTTGTACATCATCATGACTGCTGAGTAGTTCCAACTTCAACTGACGACTTTAAAATTACTTGTAAAAAAAGTGACTAAATTAGTATTTTGCTGTGTTTTCCTAGATAGCGGGCTGGATCCTGATAGCAGCAGTTATCATCTGTCTTGTGATTTTTGTGTCTATCACGCGATGTCTATCTCCAGTTAGTTTTCTGCAGCTGAAATTTTGGAAAATCTATTTGGCACAGGAGCGGAAGATTTTCGAAAATCAGGCCACAGAGCATGCAACCAAATTGGCAGAAAATAATGTTAAATGTTTCTTTGAGTGCTCACATCAAAAGGGGGAATACAAAACCCCAAGCAAGGAAGACTGGAAGAAGGTCTCAGCACTATACACCTTCAATCCAAAAGAACTGCACTACAGCACAGTGCACAAGTTTGTTAACACAGAAGAAAACGCTGACGGAAATGAACGTTCTGAAGGAGAAACAATGGTTGCTCTTCACTTTGTAGATTCATTTGCTTTAAACACCACTCTTAATTTATGACTTTATGAATGAATAGGGAAAAGGGGTTCTTTAAAATTATTGCTTCTTTAAAAAAATAAACATTAGTATTGTTTATGCTGGGGTTTTTTGTCTTCAAATTACAGACACATGGAATTTTAGATCTGAAATAGAAATTCAGAATTTTACCTATGTTATATTATTAAAAAAGGAAATGAAATTAAATGATTCATTGAAATTGACAAACTTGAACTAGATCGACAGTTTTATATCCTTCATCTAGGATCACTTTTATTGAATGATATTGCTGCATCCAAATAAAAGAATTTACTTACTAGCAAAAACAATGAAAGAACAATTGTACTTCATGTTTTCTTTTAGGTTATCTGATGCTAATTTCAAGTTCACTTTCTTGCAGGCAAGACCTTGTTAGGAACTTCAAAATACTGCCATTGTATGTCTCTAATATGGTTTTTAAATGAAAATACAAAAATTTATCCTGAAAAGGAAAATAACATCCTTTATATACAAAATTTGAAAAACTAGTTTAGGATAATTGCAGATAATAATTGCCTTTATTTGTAACATCAGAAGAAAAATTTTAAAGCTGTTTATTGTGGTAAATTTCAAATAGGCACAGAAGTAGAGAAGATAGTATTATGAACCTCCATATAGTCATTACACAGCTTCAACAAAATGGGGAAGTCTGATAAAACCCAACACAAACTGTGATTTGATTTAGATTAGAGGAGGAATGGGTTTGGAGGAATCTGTGAGACACATAGATCTGTAGGAGAAAGGCATTTCAGTTTGCAGGGATAGTATGTGTGGAGGCTGAGGTGACACAGATCTTAGCAAAGTTGGAAGCCTTAAAGGTAACTGGGGAAAATGAGCAAGGGACTGATCATGGAGCCCCTTGAGGCCATCCAAAGGGTTTTTGGGAATATTGATATATTTTCCTTGTAGAAAAAAAAGAATGGCAGAGGGAAGAGAGAGAGCCAAGGTGGGAATGGAGAGTCTAGTCAGGAGGCCTCTGCAGTGGGAACAGGTGGGAGTGAACTTGAACTCAGTTGATGAAGAGAGAAAAAGCAGATAGATTCAAGGTAGATTGTGAATATAGACACATCAGGATATGTTAATGAAAAGAGTGCAAAGATTTATTGAGAACAATTTTATCTGTAGGTAAATCCTATTGCTCGATGATGTCAGAATTTTTCAGGGCACATTAGGTTGTCATTTCTGTCCATCCCACAGATTGATGGCTGTTTTGTGCATTTTTAAAACATGAGTTGGGGAAACTTTAAACTGTGAAACAGTTGAACACTGATCGTTTTTGGTCCTTGCTCTCTTGGCTGACCCTGGTGCTGGCTTTATTTGCCCTTTGCCATCAAGGGTCATTAACATGAACTAGTCAGCAGGACTGAATATCCTGTGGTTGGGAATCATATACAGCAAGACAGTTAGCAACAGAAACTACATGACCAGTTTTGCTCTATTTCCTAATGAGTACTTCTGAAAACTGTATCATGCCTGCTTTCAGTTTTGCTTCTTTATTTCATTTCCCAATTTCTTTTGCGTATTCTTCCCTTTTAATATGCTCCATTTGAACTTACTCAGTCTTTATGTTTATTTTTATTTAATTTTAATTTAATTTTATTTTTGTATCCTCACCCAACGATACACTAATTTTAGAGAGAGATGAAGACAGGGTGGGGAAAGAGAGAGTGAGAGAGAGAGAGAGAGAGAGAGAAATATAAATATGAGAAACATGTTGTTTGCCTCACAAACATGCCCTGATCAGGAACCAGCCCACAAACTAGGTATGTGCCCTGACTGAGGAGCAGAAGCCCCAAACTTTTGGTGAATAGCATGATGCTCCGACCAATTGAGCCACCTGGTCAGGGATTACCCAATCTGTAATAATTACTGTTAAGGTACACATGCTTAAGATAAAAAATGATAACACTAGAAAAGTATGTGAAGTAAAGCGTAAAACTCCCTCATTCCTTTGCAATATTTTCTCCCCAGAGGAAACCATATACTCTATGTCTACACAAATATTATGACACTGTAAATGTGGTTCTGCAACGTGGTAACCTAAAATATTGTTCCATGTACATATATAGTAATTTGTGTCATAAAAATTACTTCATAGTATTCTGATAAGCAGACTATGATCCCCTTTATGAAAAAGTACACATGCACACATATACATATACATACACACTTATTTTTATATAAAGATATGAAGCAAGTTGTCAAATTTGGTCAATTCAGGACACTAATGATGAGGGAGGAATTTGTTTTTAAATCTCATGCACTTCAGATCTTTGGCAATGAATAATAAATATTAACTGTGTTATTACAAAAGATTAAGAAGAACCCTCACACTGGCAACAAAACAGTTTTTCATCTTTCACTTTATTTCATTTTCATGTGACTGCCGTGCTCCCATGAAACACATCCCTGTCACTTACATGTGAAGAATTGAAGATCAGAGAGGTTATATCACTAGTCTGTGTCACACGGTCAAGGAAGGTAGAAGTGAAGCAAGAGGGTTGGTCTTCTCTGGATCATGTGGTACACAGTGACCACACAGCTGTTTTTATTACAGATTTTTCTTTTTTAAAACCTCGTGTGTCCTTATAAGCAGAGAGAAATATCAATGGTCTATGAGCTGATTGAAGAAGCAAGTCTTGAGGGAAGCATACAAAAATAGAATTACCCATGTACAGAAATGTCTCTGGCTGAAAAAAATCTTGGAAATCTTGTTTCTCACCTTACATCTCACGTACTAGGTGGCCTATAGTAAATAATCTTCCAAAGACAAAATATGGAGAGATACCCTCTGAGTCAACCCCCACAGCAAACACCACTGTCTGCTCTGTCAGCAACAGACGCCCACTGAGTGTCTACCATGTGTCAGACACCTGGCCGGCCTTTAGTTGATCTTATTCTGTCTCTTACTCTGTGGTACCTGCTTATGAGGGATCTGTTGTCAGCACAATGTAAGGACTGTGGAACTGATTACATTCCATTCTGATCCGAGGAAGAGACCTGCATCAAAAAAGGTACATGGTCTGTCAAGATCCTTTGCCACAAAGAACTGAACACTAAAAACTTCCAAATGAAAGAAAAATTGTACCAGATTAGGCAATTTGTTACTCTAAAAATTGGGAGTCATCAAAGACAGAGAAGAGTACATGAAACATCTATGTACACTGTAAAGAATAACGACAAACATCTATGTAACTACCACAATGGGGAAAGAAATAGAACCTCTCCAGTATCCCCAAAACTCCCTGCTCATGTGCCTCTTCACAATCCCAACTCTCTCCACGTGGCAGTGTGCAGCGGGAGGCGTCATTTCCTTACTTTTGCATATAGTCTTATCACCTAATTGTGCATTCTTAAACTATTAATGTTTAGTTTTTTCTACTTTTGAACTTTTTATCAATGAAATCATCCTCTAAGGATTATTTTATTACTGTCTTTTTTGTTTGTTTTCATTTGAAAGATTCATCTATATTATGTCTAGAACAACTTATTTTGACTGTGGTATAATATTCTACCACATGAATATATGCCACCTATAACAATCTAGTTATTCATTTAACTAATGGGAGTTGTTCTCAGTTTCTGGCTCTTATGAGCGATGCCACAGTGAACATTCGTGGACTTGTATTCTAGTGTACATGGGTGTGTTTCTTCAGGTTGTGTTCCTAGGAATAGATGATACCATGGGGCAATGTACATATTCTAGTTTGCTAGATAACATGTCAAATGTTTTCCATAAGAGTTGTGCCAATTTACACTATGAGGAGAATTCCCAGTGCTTCTGATCTTTGTAACAATTGGTATTTCCAATTATTTAATTTTGTCACTCCGGTGAACATGTAATGGTATTTCTCATTATGGTTTTAGTTGGATTTCCCTTGCCATTAAAGGAATTTGGCAGCTTTTTATGTTTCCTAGCCACTTGAATATCCTCTTTTATGAAAGTTCTACTCAAGCCTTTTGCCCATTTTTAAATTTTCAGGTTGTCTATCTTTTTCCTGTTGATTTGTGAGATTTCATTATTATTTTATTCACTTAAACCACCAAGTATTTATTAAGAGCCTGCTAAGTCCCGGGCATATTTTAGGTATTTGGGATACATCAGTGAACCAACAGCAAAGCTCCTGACCTTGTGGAGTCTATATTCTAAAGGAGAAGAGAGATAATGGGGAGTAAGCATTATAAAGAAGTGAATAATTAGGTATTTTAGGAGGAGAAGAATACCATTTTAAAAAGGAGAATATTCTAAGAGGCATTAGGAATGTTGGGGGTTGGTGAACTGTGACCCCACTGAGGTGTAACCTTTGGGCAGAGGCTTGAAAGGGTGGCCAGAGCAGTGAGGCAGGGGACAAAAGTAGACCGTGAGGTCAGAGAGGTAACAGGCCGGGGGACAGATCATGTAAGGCCTTCGGAGCTTTGCAAAGACTTTGGTCTTTACTCTGCCTGAACTCACATGTTCCCTACAACACCTAAATCGTCTGATGACTAAGTCAGACCATTGGACGCTCTGAGGTGTGAAGAAGGCAAGAAGATGCTGGTTCTAAAAACAGAAGAAGTGATGCTCCCTTTTAGACGACAGCTGTCCAATGCCTCAGAATCGGGCAAATGATGCCTAAGACCTAATGGAATATGTTACTGTGGAATTAAAGTCAGGTGGGAAGTGTGTGTATACATACATGTATGTGTGCATGAGTTGTCTTACGGTGCCTTGTGTACATTTTAATAGTTTGTTTTGCTAGGAGGCTGTGACTTAAGAAACTTAATTTGACAAGATTATTGCCAGTGGTCAGAAATGCATTTATATATTTAATAGTCACAGGTTGCTTTTGAAACTTTGCAGCTCACTTTTCAGTGATTCTTCTTGTTCAGTTTTGGGCTCCATTTCACCAGTGCCCTCATGTTCACCATCAGCTTCTTAATATATTCACTTTCAGCCATTCAAGGAACATCCAAACATGTATTGAGAAGGCCTAATATGTGTGAGAGTCTTCATATACTATGATTAATTCAGTCACTGGAGGTAAAGTATAATTACTAAGTGGCTTATGAACAACAGAAAC